GAGGGGGTGGGTGGGCTTTGGGGAGCCCCACCAGGCAGAGGAGAATGCCTGGCCCCACCCACCCCACTGGAGCCAGCCGTGTCCGAAAGGGTCTTCCAAGATGAACCGATCCAGTCTCGCCTGACCCAGCTCCCGCCAGCCGTCCTCTCTCTGCCCACCCCTCCCTCCCTCCCCCCCGGCTCCTCTTCCCCACCCACTTCTGAGTTCCTGTCCTGCAAGGGGCTGTCCTGCTTGCCTTCTTGGGCTGCATCAACAGAAGCACGGTGTCCAGATCACGCAAAGTGATGGTATCGCTTTACTCTGCTCTGGTCAGACCTCACCTAGAGTATTGGTGTTCAGTTTTGGGCACCGCAATTTAAGAAGGATACAGACAAGCTGGACCGTGTGTCCAGAGGAGGGCAACGAAGATGGTGAGGGGGTCTGGAGTCCAAGTCATATGAGGGAAGGTTGAAGGAGCCGGGTCTGTTTAGCCTGGAGGGGAGACGACTGAGAGGGGACAGGATCACCCTCTTCAAGTCCTCGAAGGGCTGTCTGACAGAGGATGGTGCTGAGTTGTTTTCTGTGGCCCCAGAAGGTCAGACCAGAACCGACAGATTGAAATTAAGTCAGAAGAGTTTTCGGCTAGACATGAGGAAGAACTTCCTGGCCGTTCGAGCGGTTCCTCGGTGGAACAGGCTGCCTCGGGAGGTGGTGGTGGCTCTCCTTCTTGGGAGGCTAGATGGCCCTCTGACAGCAATGCAGACTCTGTGAACTTAAGGAGTTCACAAGAAGGGAGGAAGGACGGGAAGGGTTGCCTCGGGGCTTGGTTCTCGTGGACCTTTCTTACACGCCCAGGGAAATGCCGATTGCCACTTTCGGGTCAGGGAGGAATTTTCCTCCAGGCCAGATTGGCCCTGGGATTCTGGGGGATTTTTGCTTCCCTCTGGGCACGGAGCAGGGGCCACTGGGTGTGTGTGGGTGGGTGGAGGTATTTGTGAATTTCCTGCCTCGTGCGGGGGGTTGGACTAGATGACCCTGGAGGTCCCTTCCCACTCTATGATTCTACGATTCCTGCACCCACTCCTAACATGGCTCCTGCGGCCCTTTCTCCTCAGGCTTCAAGCCACTACCGGTGTTCCAAGCAGCATCTCTCGGAGGGCGGGGGGGGCGGACCTCACCCTGCCCCGGTTTCTGGGCTCGCTCACTACTCACCAATGTAGGCCACCTGGTCGGACACCATGTACTTGTTGTGGTTCACCCGGGCGTAGGGGATCCGGGCTTGCGTCTCATTCGCCGGGACCACAAAGAGCCTCTGGAAGAGGAAGAGAGAGAAAGGGGAACAATTGTAGGAAGCGGTGCTGGAGGACTCGGATCCCGCAGAGAAGAGGAGGCCGAAAGGAACGCGTGGGGGGGGGGAGCCCCTTCCGGCCGGGGCTCTCCGTTAACGGGAGGAGCCGCCTTCATCCCCCCTCCTGCGCAAACGGCGGGAGAAGCTGCAGCCCTGGACAGAAGGGGGGCCGGCAGGGCAAAGACGGAGGCTGATATTTAAGCACTCTGTGCATTCCCCACCCCCAGCTTTCCTCCTAACAAGCTCAAGGCGGCGGCATACGGGGCTCTCCCTTCATCCATTCCATCCGCACAACGACCCTGCAAGGGAGGCTAGGCTGAAGAGACTGTGCGCGCGAGAGAGACAGGAAAGGGGAGAACGTGTCCAAATGGACTGAATGGACAAGAACTCCTCGTGGGCACTCCATGAAATGGCTGAGCAGTCGGGTTAGAACAGATAAAAGGATGGGCTTCTTCACCTAAAGAGTGATCAACACGTGGAATTCACAGCCACAGGAGGTGGCGGCGGCTTCAAGAGGGAATTGGATAAGCCTATGGAGCAGAGGTCCATCAGTGGCCCCTATTAGCCACAAGGTCTAGGTAGGAAACGCTCAGGCTGGGGCGAGTGATGCTCTGTATTCTTGGGTGATTGGGGGGGGGCAACAGCGGGAGGGCTTCTAGGGTCCTGGACCCACTGCTGGACCCTATTATTTTTGGCCCCTGTGTGACACAGAGTGCTGGACTGGATGGGCCATTGGCCTGATCCAACATTGGCTTCTCTCATGTTCTTATAATGTTTTGCTTGATTTTGTGTGCAGGTTTAACTCCCAGTGGGGTTTCTCTGCTGTTTTGGTTGTAAGAAACCATTTCTCCCTCCTACTGCAGGAGTTCTGAAAACCCTGCCTGGGTTCTCTCCTTCGGCTTGGAAAGAAGCCCCATCGACGGAGCTCTCGGAAAGGAGAGTCCGCCCACAGTCAAGTGGTCTATCCTTTCCCTCTGGAGCCACGAGAGCCCTGGGTAATGGCTGGGGAGAGGGGCTTGTAGAAAACAGAGGCCCCTTGAAGCCAGAGGCTGGGCGCTGGAGGCTAAGGAATGTGCTCAAAAATACTTCCGCCCATTGAGGGTGAAAGGGTGTGCCACTTCTTTTGAGTTCCTTAAATGGATTCAGTTTTGCTTTCCAGTCTCCTATCATGCCTTGAGATTTCCAGCCACCACTGTGGTGCTCCACATTTCCTAGAGTCGCACACGCAGATAATACCGGCATCCCTACAGAAAGGCTTCAGGGTATTCTGGAATCCAGGGGAGTCGGGGGCAGTGTCCTGAGGGTCTCGAGTCCCAGTGCTCCCTCTAAGCAGAGTTAGTGTGAGCTAGCTCACACTTTTTTAGCCTCCAGCTCACACATTTTTGTCTTAGGAAGGAGGGCTCCAGAGCAAACTAATTGATGCAGCGGCCAAATCGCTCGCTCACAACTTTAGTGCCGGCAGCTCACAAAGATAGAATCTTTGCTCACAAGGTTCCACAGCTTAGAGGGAGCCTTGGCTCTCGACCCCCCCTGCTTTGAGAAATGGTGAGGACTGTGAAGTAGGAGGTTAGGAAGGAGAGCCCCCCCTCCACGTCTCCTCCCCACCACCACCCTGGCCGTGACCAGGAGGCAGCCTGCCCGGCTCTGGGCTGGTTTTGAATGGGCAGCCCGGCCTCTGAGCACAACGGGCCCAGCTCCCGCCCAGAGCAGAGAAGCACCACAAACCCCCGCCCTCCCCAGAAGACCCTCACCACTTCGATGCTGTAGCGGGTGCGATTGTCCTGCATGGCCGCCAGCGACCGCAGGAACGGAAACATGGTGGCCTTGGAGTGCTTCCAGCAGCCAACCAGGAGGCGGACGCGGACCCTGCGCTCGTAGGCCACCTTCCGGAGGTGGTCGTCGATCACCGGCCAGAACCTGAGGGGAGGACAAGGCTGAATAGGGGGCCCCCCCCGTGCACCGTCTGCAAGCGGCGCTCCCCTCGGCCTGCCCGCGCAGCCTGTTCCCTGGCCCCGGTGTGCTTCAGCAGCGAGGGCGGGGGGGGGGGAATGTCTGAGAGTTAAGAGTGGCACATCCGAAGCCGCCCCAGCTGGGAGGAGAGGGGCCGTGGCTCACTGGCAAAGCCTCTGCTTGGCATGCAGAAGGCCCAGGCCCATAGCTACGGTGGGGCATTTTGGGGGGCCGCCCCCTTAATTAAAAGACCTGCCCCACAAATAGCCATGCCAGAAACCTTAATTTGGACCATGACCTAGGCGGAACTGGGCTAACAGAAAGGGGGATTGGTGGAGATGTATCTAAGCTTTCTTGCCCTGTGGAAGGGCACTCAAAAGGCGTTTAAATGGCTTCTGAAGGCAATTAAATGCCCTCTAAGCTGTTTCCCCCCCAGGAACTAAAGCTCACGGCGCTTCTCCCTTGAAAGGAAGCGCTAGAAACAGGCTCAGAGCCCCCCCCCCCGGCATTCAGATTAATTTAATTAGCTGTAATTTAACTGCCCCCTTAAAAACTCAAATGCTCCCCCAGCGAAAAAATCCTGGCAGCTATCGGCCTGAGAAGGTCCCTGGTTCAATCCCTGGCATTCCCAGGTAAAACAGAGCCAGGCAGCAGGTGATGGGGAAGACCTTTCTCTGCCTGAGACCCTGGGGAGCCACACTGCCAGTCTGGGTAGACAACACAGACATTGATGGACTGATGACCCGCTTTGGTAGAAGGCAGCTTCATGTGTTCATCTGTTCCGCAGGGGGGTGGGGGTGGGGGTCTGGGCAACCTTTGGCACCTCTACCTGTTCAGCCCGACTAGGCACTTCCAGGGACTCCTTTCAGTCCTGTCTCCTTATACGGAAGCTGTTGTTTGGGGCTGCCCCATAAGTAGTGCCTCAGTGAGAAAATCTAATTCTGCGGGCCCAAAGTAATAACAACCTCTCTTGCCATTACAACACCCCAGTCCCCAGATGGCGCTATAAAAATCCGAGAAAAGGGGTCATTTCCTGCAGGAGCTCGCAGTTTTTTAGCCTCCGGCTCACACAGTTTTTCTCTTAGCTCAGGAAGGAGGGCTCCAGAGCAGTGTTCCCTCTAAGCTGAGTGAGTGTGAGCTAGCTCGCAGTTTTTTAGCCTCCGGCTCACACATTTTTTGTCTCAGCTCGAGAAGGAGGGCTCCAGAGCAAACTCATTGATGCAGTAGCCAAATCGCTCGCTCTCAGCTTTAATGCCAGCAGCTCACCAAGTAGAATTTTTGCTCAGAAGACTTAGAGGGAGCATTGCTGGAATGCCTATTTCCTGGGAGCCAGGTTGTTAACTGCTGCATTAGCCAAGAGACACCTGAGACAGGGGCAGTATACCTGACTGCCAAATGCCGGGGAAGAGCACCTCTCTGTCAGACGCCCCTCACAAGCTCCCCGGAAGCATCTGTCTGCCTGCTGGACAAAAACGCGTTCCCCTCCCAGTCTTATTCCGAGGCAGGGATGGGGTCGGAACATGGGGGTGGGGTAGGGGGCAAGTGGGCCCAAAGGGGGCAAGCGCTTGGGGTGCGGCACACTGCCTGTCAGCCAGTCAGCCCCCAGTTACCTCCTGGGGTGCGAGAACTCCATGGTGGGCAAGTAGCTCATGACGGCCACGTAGACGAACTCCTGGGCCCCGTCGATGACGCTCAGCACCGCCTCGAGGTCTCTGGTCCGCCCCGGGGCACACAGGGCTGGGGGGGAGCTCTGGGGGGCGGCACAGAAAGAGAAGAGACCTTCAGAAAGGGGCGCAGTCGGGATGGGCATGCTGGCCCAAGGACTTATGCGTGTGTGGGGGGGACACAGCAAGAGAGGACTTGTCTAGAAGACGCAGAAGAGATGGGATTTGTACCCCACCCTTCACTACCTGAAGGAGGGAGTCTCAGGGTGGTTTACAATCCCCTTCCCCTCCCCACAACAGACACCCCCTGTGAGGCAAGCGGGGCCAAGAGGGCTCTGGCAGGAACTGCTCTTCTTCAAGGACAGCTCTGACAGAACTATGGCTTGCCCAAGGTCATCCAGCAGCTGCATGTGGAGAAGTGGGGAATAAAACCCGGCTCTTCCAGATTAGAGTCTGTGCTCCTCACCACGACACCAAACCAGTATAGGCCCACCCCTCCCTTCTGCAGGGATCCGAGTTTCTGCTGCTCCTGAGGATGGAGCCCAGAGAACTCTGTCAGCCAAAATGCACAGGTCTGGGGGCAGACAGAGTGCCCTCTTTACACAGGTCCTGCCCTCTGGATCGGGGCCACCCCCCTGGGCTTCCTCCCAGAATGTAATCAGGGCTCTGTTTGTAGCAGGGACTCCTTTGCATCTTAGGCGACACACCCCTAATATAGCCAATCCTCCAAGAGCTGACAGAGCTCTTCTTACAGGGGCTACCGTAAGCTCTTGGAGGATTGGCTACATTAGGGGGGAGGGGTGTCACCTAAGATGCAAGGGAGTCCCTGCTACAAAAAGAGCCCCGACTGGGGAAGTGATGTTTTCGGAGGGGAGGGGGAGCTTCCAGAGGAATGCCTGGCCAGGCAGCAGGGGCCCCCACGTGCCCACTACTCACCGAAAGGTACACGCCGGCATTGGTGCCGTTCAGCTGCAGAGCCAGGGGTGCCTCCTTGTTGTAGGGGGTGGAGAAGTTGGCGGGCCAGGGGGAGGGGATGGTGGCGTTCGGGAGCCCCAGGGCCCAGTAGGCCTTGAAGAGCTTGGCCAAGTCCCGGGCCAGGCAGCTGCAGTTGTAGACGGCCACGCCCAGCTCCTTCACCTGCGGGCCAAGCAGAAGACGTTTCCGGAGCCAGCCCCTCCAAAGCACGTGGCCGCCAAGGAGCCCCTCCGCGCAGTCCCAGAGAGACACGGCCGGGCTCCCTGCCATGCCATGTGCTCCAACGCTCAGAAGAGGCGCAGCTGCTTCCAGGGTACCCCCCTCCCCCCACAGCCCGTCACCTGGGTGAGGGCTCGCCAGTCCATGTTTGCGCTTCCCAGGTAGACGTGCGTCTGGTCCACGATCCAGAATTTGGTGTGGAGGATTCCAGACGTCAGCCTCGGCAGGTCCACTTTGCGAATCTGTGCTCCTAGAGGGATCCGGAGAGACGGCCCTTCAGCTCTGAGCCCTCGGGGGGGGGCAGTGTTCCCTCTAAGCTGAGTTAGTGTGAGCTAGCTCACGGTCTGTTTAACCTCCGGCGCACCCATTTTTGTCTCAGCTCAGGAAGGATGGGGCTCCAGAGCAAACTAATGTATGCGGTAGCCAAATGGCTCATAGCTCACAACTTTAAGGCCAGGAGCTCACAAAGGAGAATTTGTGCTCCGGAGAAGACTCCACAAGGCTTAGAGGGAGTGTTGGGACTCAGGGCCACTCTTGGACCTGGCCCCCTTCCAGCGGCAGAGCCCCTTTCTGAGGGTGTGCGCATCTCCCCGTGGAGATGGCGAAAGACCTCTCAGCTGGGCGGCCCCTTCCCCGCACTCACCGCTCTCCTCCAGCGCCAAGAGGTCCGTGCTGGGCAGACGGGAAGAAGGCGGGTTGACCGCGATCCGGGTGGCGATGCCTCTCCCAGACAGCTTCAGCAGCTCGGCCAGGATTTCTTCCCCCTGGGTTTCAAACAAGGGTTCAGAGGGGCTCACACGGCTGCCTCCCCGGCAATCCACCGACAGCCCTGCTCCTCCGGCGCACGTGGCTGGGGTGCCACGAGGAGGCGAGAGCACTGGGCTGCCCGTGGGGCACAGTGTGCTTCCAGCTGGCACTGCAGGCAGAGGCAAATGGGAGGGCTGCCATCTGGCATCACAACCCTCCCCCCCAGGCCCCCCCCCCCCCAGGGACACTCTGAAGCTCCCCAGGTTTTTTCCGTTCAGGGGGCATTTAAATTTTCAAGGGGGCAGTTAAATTAAAGTTAATTCAATTAATGTGAATGCCTGTCTTTAAAGGGGGAGGATTCGAGCCTGTTTCCAGATCGTCCTTTCGAGGGACGGGGCAAGCGAGTGCAGCATAAGAACATAAGAACATAAGAGATGCCAATGTTGGGTCAGGCCAAAGGCCCATCCAGTCCAACACTCTGTGTCACACAGTGGCCAGAAATACCAGGTGCCATCAGGAGGTCCAGCAGCAGTTCCTAAGAAAATCAGAAGGGCTTTTAAATGCCTTTTGAGTTCCCTTCCACAGGGCAAGGAAAGCTTAGAAAGGCCCTTTCGATACATCTCCAACAATCCCCCCCTTTCTACTAGCCCAGGACCACCTAGGTCATGGCCACACACACACAAAACCTTTATTGGCACTGAAAGCACAAAACGTCATGGAAATACGGGGAAATACTAAGATGCGTCAGCCGCTTACACTTGGCTATTCAAGCCTCGTCTTCTGATTGCAGAATATAACAATTTTGGCAAGAGCCTCCATTATTTCGCAATTAGAATTAAACAGAAGAAAGTGGACAAGTCATCAGAGCGCCAGTCCTCGCCCTCTAGAAGTGGAGTAATAAAACGAGATCGGATATCCCTATAGAGGGGGCAATGAAGTATGGAGTAGGTAAAGGTAAAGGTTCCCTTGCTCGAAAGCCAGTCGAATCCGACTCTAGGGCTGTGGTGCTCATCTCCGTTTCCAAGCCGAAGAGCCAGCGCTGTCCGAAGACGTTTCTGTGGTCATGTGGCTGGCATGACTAAACACCAAGGCGCACGGAACGCTGTGACCTTCCCACCGAAGCGGTCCCTATTTATCTACTTGCAATGTCTTGCTTTCGAACTGCTAGATTGGCATGAGCTGGAACTAGAGACAGGGGAGCTCACTCCATCATGCGGCACACTCGAGTCTCGAACTGCTGAACTACCGACCTTCCACAGCCTGCAGTTCAGCGTCTTAACCACTTGAACCACCGCAGCGGAGTGTGTAGTGGACTCTATAGCTTTTAGAGAGCCCTAAGGACAAAGCCTGTCTACATAGGGTATCTGGCGGTACCTCCCTAAGAGCACCTCTGACGGCAGAACATGAAAGCGTGCAAGCATGTATGCTCTGCGATGATCTGGGGCTGTTAAACTTGAGAGATACTTCGCAGTAGAGGTCATGGTCCAAAATAAGGTTCCTAGCATGGCCATTGGGGGGGGCCTTTTAATTAAGGGGGCATGGCCCCGAAATGCCCCCTGTGGCTGCAGGCTTGCCTGGCACCCAGTGACAGCAGGAGGAGATGTTTTGCTACCCCAAACAAGCGGTGAGGCAGGGCTCGGTTCAGGCCTGGCAGGGGGCGGTGCGGCCTGGGGCAGCGATCTGCCTGGACCCAGCCCTACTACTCCCGTGGGGAAGGTATGCCAGGGCCCTTCCATTCAACCTGTAAGAAGAGTGCCTTCTTTCCAGGGGAACAGCTTGACCGTGAGAACTGCAGGCCCCAAAGACTCTCTGTAACTAATGTCTTTTGACTGGAAGCCCCACATGGTTTGCCCAACGATGGTACACAGGTGTTTGGAGTTGTCCCCGCCCCCCATGCGCACTCAGACTGGCAGGTTAGCCCCCAGCTGAGCCTGAATGGGTGCTACTTGGGGGTAGAATGACCAAGAAGTGTTCCGGGAGGAACCAAGTCAGCCCTCGGCCGGATCTCTACCAAGCCCGGCAAAGCTGCACACCATCGATGTCGGTTTCACTCCTCACTTCCTCCTCTTTGTCAAGCTTTTGTTTCTTTTTAATCCAACCAAAACGAGATATGCTTTGGCCAACAGAAGCTGCATGCAGCTGTTAACATCCCCACAGGACGAGACCTTTTAGGAAATCCTGAGTTTTATTTGTGGGTTCCTACGGATTTTGGAAACTACCATGTAATCACCGTGACACGGCTTCCGAATTCTATCAAAAGCCTTTTCTGTCCAGACCCCGAACCAACGGATGTTCTGCTTTCCTCCCTCAAAGGGCCCTTTCAGGGACTCCAAGGCTGACTGGCTGCCCAGTTACATGCCTGTTTGCAAGAGAATCGATCCTGTCACGGTGCTGCTGAGTGCACGGCATTTAATCCAGGGGCCTCAGGTCAGAGGGCTGCTCTTGCTCCACACCAGGGGTGGCCAAACCGTGGCTCGGGAGCCAGATGTGGCTCTTCCACACATAGTGTGCGGCTCCCAGCAGGGCGGCTGGGGAGGCAGGCCTCTCTGTGTCCCTCCCTGGGTAGGCCTGAGGTGAGGGGAGCAGAGAAAGAAAGCAACTTCAAATGCATTCTCAAAGCCTGTCAGACTCGGGCATTTGGCCTACTGCACCTGTTGTATTTCTACCCAGTGCAATTACGCTCTCTGTATCCTGTTTGCTCCTCGCACCCAACCCTTTGTTATCCCTGCACCCTTATCGCTTGCCCTCGCCCGCCACTGCATTCCTTGGGGGGGTGGGGTGAGTGCGGGTAGAGTTTAGGGAGGCCGTATCGCCTCAAAGACATCTTTCACATGGGAAGTGTCCTTGAAGTGGATTCTGTGTTTGGCTAGTTGTTGACCGTATATCTTTCATGGTCTTTGTAGTATTGCTGATGTGTATGAATAGAATTTTGAGGCTGTGATTATACGTAACTTTCCCGCCTTGGCACCTCAGTCCTCCTGACAAAGAGTCTGAACCCATAAGCATCTCAAAGCCAGTTTGGCGCTGTGGTGAAGTGCGCGGACTCTAATCTGGGAGAACCGGGTTTGATTCCCCACTCCTCCATTTGCACCTGGCTGGGTGACCTTGGGCAAGCCGTAGTTCTGATAAGAGCTATTCTTGAAAAAGAGCAGTTTCTGTCAGAGCTCTCTCAGCTCCACCTGCCTCCCAGGGGGTGCCTGTTGTGGGGAGGGGGTGGGAAAGGAGTTTGTAAGCCGCTCTGAGACTCCTTTGGGTAGTGAAGGGCAGGGTATAAATTCTTCAAATCTCTGAATAAACCTTTCACTAAAGAAAGTGTGTGTGGAGAATGATTTGACTGGGAAGCTGACATTGGGCCTCGACTGACTAGTCTCTTTAAATCCCTTCTCCAAGCAAACCCAGCTGACATGGGGGGGGCCCCTGGAGGACACATTGAAAGTTGCTTTCTTTCTACCTTTCTTCCCCCCCATCTTTCCACCTTCCTTTCTTTCCCTTTCTCTCTCTCCCCCCTTCCTCCTCCTTTCATTCAATGTCAATAAAAAGCAAATCCGCATATTTTTCAATAAAAACGTGTGTGTGTGTGATACCTGCTCATGCCTTGCGGCTCTCAGGCGTCTGGCGTTTATTCCACGTGGCTCTCACGGTAAGCAAGTTCGGTCACCCCTGGTCTGCACAAACATCCCCTTCACCAACAGACGCTGCTTTGCAGTCAGAGAGAATACCAGCCCCCCGGGGGGGAGGGGGGGTTCTCCCTCCCCTGGTGGAGGGACATCTCCGAGAAGGCATCCTTCTGACCCGTTACCTGGCTGGCTGAGGGATCCTGGGTGTGCGTGTCTTTGTTCTGGAGGGTCCAATAGAAAGCGGCGATGTCCACAGTGCTTCTGGCGTCGGCGAGGAGTTTCGCCCAGGCCTCGAAGGTGGAAGGACTGATGGTGCTGTTGTCCTCATACGCCAGCCCCTCGGGGATGCTCTCCACCAGAACGATCCTAAAGAAAGGAGAGGCCCTGAAGGAGGCAGGCGGGGCAGGGGACCCCCTCCGGGGGTGCATGCAGGAGTCTGACCCACCAAGCCCTTAAAGGTGGCCCCCCCCCAAAAAAAGATACATTGCCTGCCTCCCTAGCCCATTCCTCTCTTGGGTATCCTCTAGTCAGGGGTCATTTTGTAGAAAAAGAGGTGCAGGGGCTCATTCGCATAACTCATTAGCATAACATGCCACACACCCCTGACGTCACCGGAAGTGTGTCAGAAGACAACACCCACCGCTCAGGCTCCACTGGACTGTTTTGGATTGCTAGCTATTGGGGGGGGGGGAACATGCAGATCTGTCCTCGCAGAGGAGGGAGAGCTTGTGCCTGAACAAAACTTGGTCTTAAAGGTGCCCCTGGACTGTTTTGGATTGCTAGCTATGGGGGGGCGGGACGTGCAGATCTGTCCTCGCAGAGAATAAAACTTGGTCTTGAAGGTGCCACTGGACTGTTTTGGGCCGGGGGGGCTCTGCAGCTTACCTGGCTGCTTCTTGCTCTGACTGAGGGCTGCTGGGAGTAGGGGGCGGGGCTTGTTGCATGTGCCCGCCCCCTGGGCTCTTTACTGCCGGAGCACCGCTCCCGTGCGCTCCTGCAGGAAATGACCCCTGCTCTAGATTCTAGATTTGAGTCTGGTGGTACCTTGAAGACCCGCAAAGTTTAATTCTAGGTAGAAGCTTTCATCTGCAGGCACGAAGTTGCACCTTTGAGACCAACAAAGTCACATTCAAGGCATAAGCTTCCTTTCACGAAAGCGCACACCTTGACTAAAACATTGTCGGTCTTTACAGGGCCACCAGACTCGAACTTTGTTCCAGGCAGTGTTCCCTCTAAGCTGAGTTAGTGTGAGCCAGTTCGCAGTTTTTTAAGCCTCCGGCTCACACGTTTGTCTCGGCTCAGGAAGGGATGGGGGCTCCAGAGCGAACTAATTTATGCAGGAGCCAAATCGCTCCCTCGCAACTTTAATGCCAACAGCTCACAAAGTAGAATTTTTGCTCACAAGACTCCACGGCTTAGAGGGAGCATTGGTTCCAGGGCATCCTTTCTTATCCATCGAGAGCCAGTCTGGTGTTGTGGTTAAGTGCGCAGACTCTAATCTGGGGAGAGCCGGGTTTGATTCCCCCACTCCTCCACTTGCACCTGGCTGGATGACCTTGGGCAAGCCGTAGTTCTGATGAGAGCTGTCCTTTGAAAAGAACCGTTTCTGTCAAGAGCTCTCTCAGCCCCGCCTATCTCACAGGGTGTCTGTCTGTTGTGGGGAGGGGAAGGGGAAGGAGTCTGTAAGCCGCTCTGAGACTCCTTTGGGTAGTGAAGGGTCGGGGGGCATAAATCCACAGTCTCTTCTCTTCACCTGGGCTCTGAGGCCAGGCCAGTTTCTAGTCCAGCACCGCAGACCCCACATTCCAGGCTGTCAGTGCGGATTTTATTCATTGGGGGTGCAACATGCTCCCGCTTCAGCGAGGAGGAACAGAGTCCCGAGCAAACTTCTGTTGTCAGGACTGAACTTTGATTTGCACCCCAGAGAACACGGGAGCTCCAGAATCTGGACCCGAGTCCTGCTCCAGAGGGCAGGAGCAACTTTGTCAGAAAACCCCAGGGAGTCCAGGGGAAGGACAGCCCCTGCCCCTCACCTGCAGGGGTCACTGCACCGGTCATCCAGGTAGGAGGCAGTCCTCACGTTCTCCCCCCGGGTGGAACCGTGGAAGGGGAAGAGGAAGGTGTGGACCAGGAGGGCGGCCACCAGCATGGTCCCCAAAAACGCCGTCGCCACGATGCAGTGGAAGTCCTGGGGGACAGAGAGAGAGAGAGACGGAAGGAAGGAAGGAAGGAGAGGCGGAGATGACCACGCTTTCTATAGCCAGTTTGGTGCACTGCATCATGAATGCTGCCTCGGTGAAGACTCTGGAGGGACAAGACATGTTCCTTTAGCCACAGGCTGCAGCCCACCCCCCTTGTCGGGGGGTGGGTTAAAGTGTGTGGACAAAAGAGCCAGTTTGGTGTCGTGGTTAAGTGTGCGGGGACTCTAATCTGGGTGAACCGGGTTTGATCCCCCACTCCTCCACTTGCAGCTGCTGGATGACCTTGGGCAAGCCGTGGTTCTGTCGGAGCTGTTCTCTCACGAGCAGTCCTCGAGAGAGCTCTCTCAGCCCCACCTCCCTCACAGGATGTCTATTGTGGGGAGGGGAAGGGAAAGGAGTTTGTCAGCCACTCTGAGACTCCGAGTGAAGGGCCAGGGGTATAAATCCAATCTTCTCCTCCTCTTCTACCCCCGGGGCTTGAACCCAGCAGCCCTCACCAGGTGTCCCAGCATGAATAGCTATACCAACAAGATGGCAAGCCAGAGCTATGCAAGGCCTGGAATTCCCTCCCTCCCCCCATGGTCTTCTCCGCTTGGGCTGGTGAGATCCTCACAAATTATGAGGGTCTGTGAGGGAGAACTCTTTGTAGGATCTGGTTTCTTAACTGCTTTTTATTGTCATGATTTGGAATGTAAAATGCCACCAAAGATCAGTGTAATGAGGAGGTGCTGTGGCTCAGTGGCAGAGCCTCTGCTTGGCACGCAGAAGGTCCCAGGTTCAATCTCCAGCAGCGCCTCCAGTTAAAAAGGACCAAGCAGGAGGTGATGGGAAAGACCTCTGCCTGAGACCCTGGAGAGTTGTAAAGAGGGGCCATGGCTCAGTGGCAGAGCCTCTGCTTGGCATGCAGGAGGTCCCGGGTTCAATCCCCGGCAGCATCTCCAGTTGAAAAGGACCAGGCAGGAGGTGATGGGAGAGACCTCCACCTGAGACCCTGGAGATCTGTAAAGAGGGGCTGTGGCTCCGTGGCAGAGCCTCTGCTTGGCATGCAGGAGGTCCCGGGTTCAATCCCCGGCAGCATCTCCAGTTGAAAAGGACCAGGCAGGAGGTGATGGGAGAGACCTCCACCTGAGACCCTGGAGATCTGTAAAGAGGGGCTGTGGCTCCGTGGCAGAGCCTCTGCTTGGCATGCAGGAGGTCCCGGGTTCAATCCCCGGCAGCATCTCCAGTTGAAAAGGACCAGGCAGGAGGTGATGGGAGAGACCTCCACCTGAGACCCTGGAGATCTGTAAAGAGGGGCTGTGGCTCCGTGGCAGAGCCTCTGCTTGGCATGCAGGAGGTCCCGGGTTCAATCCCCGGCAGCATCTCCAGTTGAAAAGGACCAGGCAGGAGGTGATGGGAGAGACCTCCACCTGAGACCCTGGAGATCTGTAAAGAGGGGCTGTGGCTCCGTGGCAGAGCCTCTGCTTGGCATGCAGGAGGTCCCGGGTTCAATCCCCGGCAGCATCTCCAGTTGAAAAGGACCAGGCAGGAGGTGATGGGAGAGACCTCCACCTGAGACCCTGGAGATCTGTAAAGAGGGGCTGTGGCTCCGTGGCAGAGCCTCTGCTTGGCATGCAGGAGGTCCCGGGTTCAATCCCCGGCAGCATCTCCAGTTGAAAAGGACCAGGCAGGAGGAGATGGGAAAGACCTCCACCTGAGACCTTGGAGAGTTGCTGCCCGTCTGAGCAGACAAAAGGGACCTGGCTGGACCAAGGGGGGTCTGACCCAGTACGAGGCAGCTTCACACGTGTTCATGCGTGTCCCATCAGGAGGACGGGGCGCACCCCCACCACTCCCACAAAACCCCACTGAAGCATCTACGACGGGTAGCATCAAACGTAACATTTTCCATTGCGGCGATGGAATTCACAGAGCCTAAACTTCCAGAATCTTTAAAAAGGGAAGACTCTAGATTTCCAAGTAAAGCAGGAAAGAGCTGCTGGTGGAACGCCCTGACCGGCAGGAGGACAGAAAGGGCATGACCCCCCCACGCCTCCACTTGCAGCCGCTGGTGTGACCTTGAGTCAGTCACAAGTTCTGTCGGGGCTGTTCTCTCACACGTGGTATTACCTTTCCTGATAAGCGTGTAGTACGTTGTTGGCTGTGGGTTCTGACATTCAGCGGCAGCCCGAAGGGACCGGGAAGGAAACTGACCTGAGGGGCCTGGCCAGGACACAGGTCCTTGGGGTGAGGCAGGGTCTTCAGCTGGAAGGGAGGGAGGAAGAACATTAAAGGCGGTCCAGGCCAACAGGGAAGGGAAGGAGCCACAGACCTTGCCCCTCTGACAGCCCGTGATCCTTTGTGATTGAATAAACTGGCTCCTGTATGTGCTACTACTGAGACTGGGTTCGACGGCAGCCTATTGGTTTTGAAAAATAATTATTCGAAATGCGGCAGCCTGCATCCGGACTTCTGCGTCTCTACGGCTTATGGATTCCATGACCATAGGGATTTTCCAGGAACTCTATGAGTCCACTCTATGATGAACGTATGTCAAGTTGGACAATGGAATTACAATACAACAGGAGTGAGACACATCGAATACTTTTGGGACTTGACTTCTCTGCACTACTGTTGTTCCTTGTAAGAACACCGTGGCTTTATCTAGTTATATGGTTATTGTGTTATTGAACTCGGTGGCTCAAATGGTTAAGACGCTGAACTGCACAGGCTGTGGAAGGTCGGTAGTTCAGCAGTTCGAGACCCGAGTAGTGCCGCATGACGGAGTGAGCTCCCGTCTCTGGTTCCAGCTCCTGCCAACCTAGCAGTTCGAAAGCAAGAAATTGCAAGTAGATAAATAGGGACCACTTCGGTGGGAAGGTCACAGCGTTCCGTGCGCCTTGGTGTTTAGTCATGCCGGCCACATGACCACGGAAACGTCTTCGGACAGCGCTGGCTCTTCGACTTGGAAACGGAGATGAACACCGCAACCCTAGAGTCGGACTCGACTGGCTTTCGAGCAAGGGAACCTTTACCTTTTTAAGGAAATATTTTTATACATCTTTCATTCACCTTTAGTGATTTCAGCCTTTGTACCCTCTTACAGCTCCCCTGCCCTGGCGTGGCCTCCAATACCGTGACTACTTCTGGGATTCACAGAGTCACACTAAAAGTCACGTGAATTGACACGGGGCACAAGGTGCCAGGAAGGCCCCCTGCACAAACCTCCAGCAGACCCACCCCTCTCCGGTTCAGCCACCCTAAGCCGTGCCCAGGAAGATCCGGACCCCAGTGATCCGTCTACGCAGCTGGCACACGACTTGCACTGGAGGCTGCCGGCAGGGCCCTGGGATCACGCCGGACGTGCTGCCGCCTTGTGTGACCTCTGACTTGGGCCTGGCGCCGGGAGAAAGGGACGAGGCACAGCCGCTCCCAGCTCCATTCCAGGACGCGCCACTCAGCCGGAAGCGACGGGCCCGTTCAGGAAGACTTCCTCTTCAGGGTCATAGAGAAATCCCCCGCCCCCTGTTGATCATATATAATCTGGCATGGTTTGGAATTAGCTATGTGATCTGACTGTTGCCTGCTGCAGTGCCGATTGTCTGCATCACTTTAGTTTCTACAGCATTGCCTTCTACCTTTGAAATTTGCTTTGGGATGCCGTGCCTTAGGCAGGGGCTTCCTCTTCACGGTCCCCCCAGTACTCTGATCCTAACCTTACCACCTTGTTCACTGGACGTCTTATGCAAAGCAAGCAAGCGTGAATGAGGCCGTAGGGGATTACCTGCTGGTAGGTGACACGGGGCTTCATCTTTTCCGGAGTGCTGGGGACAGAGGCAGGAAGAACCAACCAGAGAACCTCAAAATAAGAGAGAAGCCAATACTGGATCAGGCCAAAGGCCCATCCAGTCAAGCACTCTGTGTCACACAGTGGCCAAAAATACCAGGTGCCCTCAGGAGGTCCACCAGTGGGGCCAGGACGCTAGAAGCCCTCCCACTGTTGCCCCCCCCAAGCACCAAGATTACAGAGCATCACCTGCCCCAGACCCAGAGCCCCTATCTATACCTTGTGGCTAACAGCTACTGAAATTTCATGGAGTGCCAACGAGTTCTTGTGTTGTGAGAAAGGGAGAAAAGTACTTCTTTCTCTACCAGCTCCATCCCATGCATAATCTTATAAACCTCGATTATGTCACCCCTCAGGCGTCGTTTCTCCAAGCTAAAGAGCCCCAAGCGTTTTAACCTTTCTTCATAGGGAAAGTGTTCCAACCCTTTTATCATTCTAGTTGCCCTTTTCTGCACTTTTCCCAATGCTATAATATCATTTTTGAGGTGTGGTGACCAGAACTGTCACACCATCTATTTATACAGAGGGATTATGATACCGGCTGATTTGTTTTCAATTTCCTTCCTAATAATCCCCAGGATAGTGTTGGCGTTTTTTACTGCAGTTGCACACTGTCTAGACATTTTCATTGAGTTATCTACTATGACTCCAAGATCTCTCTCTTGGTCAGTCTCTGCCAGTTCGGACCCCATCAATGTGTATTTATAGCCAGGATTTTTGGCTCCAATGTGCATCACTTTGCACTTGGCCACACTGAACCCCATTTGCCACGTTGACGCCCACTCGCCCATCCTGGACAGATCCCTTTGGAGTGCCTCACAATCCTCCCTGGTTTTCACCACCCTGAACAACTTAGTTTCATCTGCAAATTTAGCCACTTCACTGCTTAATCCCAACTCCAAATCATTAATGAACAAGTTAAAAAACATCAGACTGAGTACTGATCCCTGCGGTACCCCACTGCTTACCACCCTCCAATGAGAGAGTTGCCCATTTACACTCACTCTGTTTCCTATTAATTAGCCAGTTTTAGATCCACAAGAGGACTTGTCCTTTTATCCCGTGATTATTGAGCTTACTTAGGAACCTTTGATGAGGAACTTTAGCAAAAGCTCTCTGGAAGTCAAGGTAAACAATATCTATTGGGTCCCCCTTGTCCACATGTTTGTTCACCCCCTCAAAGAACACTAAAAGGTTAATGAGACAGGATCGCAACCGACCAGGCCTGGCGGCTGAGTCTTTGCTCCTTCCTCGCAGGGCCGGCGCGATCTGCAAACAGACCAAGGGAAACTGGTTGAGCTCCGACCGGGAGGAGGGACTCCAGAGCCCCAGGTGGAACACCACCTGATCCTACTGTGGGAAACCGCCAGATGCACTTGCGAGCGATCACCACAGTGCATTGGAAGGGGAGAGAAAGTGTGGGAAAGTGTCGATTTCCTTTGGGGCTTCCCAAGAAAGCAGAGCTGCAGTTGCAGGAACAGGGCTTCACATCATGTCTTGAGGAGTCCCCCCCCCCCCGGACCCCCTTTCAAGTGCTTTGTACCACCCAGCCAAAGAGGAAGGCCTTGTGTTTTTAGTCAGGGAGGCAGCGGCCTCGGCAAGGAAGGGACCTCCGAGTGCCAGCAACGGCATCCAGTGGCCTTCGTTTTTTGAGTCAGGAGCAGTGTTCCCTCTAAGCTGAGTTAGTGTGAGAACTAGCTCAAAGCCTTTTAGCCTCCGGCTCACACATTTTTTTGCCTTAGCTCAGGAAGGGTGGGGCTCCAGAGCAAACTAATTGATGCGGCAGCCAAATCGCTTGCTCACAACTTTAATGCCTGGAGCTCACAAAGTAGGATCTTTGCTCACAAGACTCCACAGCTTAAAGGGAGCATTGAACATCAGAACAGAAGAGAAGCCAATGCTGGATCAGGCGCCTCCGCCTGTGGCCCCCCCCCCCCCCGAAGTACCAAGAACACAGAGCATCCCTGGCCCCAGACTGAGAGTTCCTGTCTATACCTCGTGGCCAGTGTTCCCTCTAAGCTGAGTTAGTGTGAGCTAGCTCATCATTTTTTAGCCTCCGGCTCACACATTTTTGTCTTTGCTCAGGAAGGGATGACTCCAGAGCAAACTGATTTATGCAGGTGCAAAATGGCTCGCTCACAACTTTAAGGCCAGTAGCTCACAAAGTAGAATTTTTCTCACAGGACTCCACAGCTTAGAGGGAACATTGCTTGTGGCTAGTAGCCACCGATGGACCTCTGCTCCATACATTTATCCAATTCCCTCTTGAAGCCGTCCCTGCTTGTAGCCGCCGCCACTTCCTGTGGCCGTGAACTGTGTGTGTTCATCACCCTTTGGGTGTAGAAGGACTTCCTTTTATCCGCTCTAACCCGACTGCTCAGCAATTTAATTGAGTGCCCACGAGGTCTTGTATGGCGAGACATTGGTCAGGAGATGATTCATGGGACAGCCTTCCAGGAGGCCGGAAGGTTCCCCCCTCCCCTCACGCCCCTGCTTTCTGAAATCCCTAGCTCTTCAAGCCACTGACTGAATCAATGCCACTGGTTTCTCCATGGAGGGGCCCATTGCTGTCTGACTGAGTGGGGAGGGGTGTGTGTGTGCAGAACCTGCCCCCCTGTTTTGTTAACCAGTGAAGGAAAGGTGTGGGGAGGGGGAGGAGGCAGCATGTTGCCCCCCCTCTTTGCCTCCTTTTGGTCTCCCCCCCCCTTCATTTCACTCACGCCCCACTTCTCTCTTTCTGACCCACAAAGAAATGTTTTGAAAATGAGGGGGGGGGTCTGTTCTCTTCTGGAGAATAAGGGGATGCTACTCTCTCTCTCTCCCGACTTTCCGGTGAGGCAGACACGTTATTAAAACGGGATCCCCCAAATGAGCTGCAACTCCTATCTGGCGTGATAACAGGGGCCTCCAATGCCACCCAGGTCAGCTTAGCCCCGGGACCTGTTTGCAACAACTGGGGTCAGTCTGGGAACTGAGTGTGTGCGCGCGTGGAGTGCCTCCAGGAGGCGGGGAGGGGGCAGGCAGGCCTTTCAACTGTGCGTGTTTCGGGCTGGATGTGTGCTGGGGGGGGGGGGGTGGCTCAGGCGAGGTCTTCTTCGCAGGCAGGAAGGAGGTGGTTTACCAGCTGGGCTTTGGGCGTCTTCATGAACCACAGGAAAGGATTTGGGGCATCTCCACAAACCACGGGGAAGAAGGTGGTGAACAGAATCGCTCCCCAGAGCAGAGAAAGGGGATACTCCCAAAGACAGGCATGACTTCCTGGAACTCCGTCCCCCGTGCCCGGGTGGTTCCCTTCCAAATACCCAGGCCCAGGCCAGCTGATGGGCAGAGAAGCCAGATTTGCAAAGCTCTCATACAGCACGAGAAGGCAGCAGACGTGGCACCCTCTGGGGCAAAGCCTGCCGATGGGCATCCCCTGAGAGACCCCTCCGCCCTGCCACCCCTTCCCTGGACCTTCTTCTTCACCCACCTGGGTGGGCCTCTCCTCACCCACCCCTGCTCTGGTCCTCACGGAGAGGCAATGCGGAAGCCCCCCCACGGAACCCACCATCCCCCTCTGCCCAGGCTAGCCTGATTCCGTTAGACATTGGAAGCGAAGCAGGGTCGGCCCTGGTGACTAGTGCTCGGATGGAAGACCCCCAAGGAAGTCCGGGGTTGCTACGCAGAGGCCGGCAAGGGCAAACCCACCTCCAGCTGGTCCCTTGCCTTGAAATCCCCCAGGCAGGACCTCGGTCGGTTGGCTGCGACACCCGAACCCGCCAGTTCTCCCTTCTCTTCCCCGAGTGTCCCTCTCCCCCTCCACGGGGCCCAGACTCCAGAAGCCCTCCTCGTGCGGGTTGGAGCCCCTGGACCCCGCGGCTCCCTCCCACCCGCTGGGCCTGGTCCCCTGGCCATTTGGTTCTGCCGCTCCTTCGGGAGCACTGGCCCGAAAATGCCCGCTCTGGGATCTCAAAGGCCACTTCCACACTGCCACTTTGGCCACTCGCTTTTCCCCCTATGGCTTCAGGTCCCCCCCCCCCAGTGTTCCCTCTAAGCTGAGTTAGCGTGAGCTAGCTCACAGTTTTTTAGCCTCCAGTTCACACACTTTTGTCTCGGCTCAGGAAGGATGGGGGCTCTAGAGCAAACTAATGGATGCAGGAGCCAAATCGCTCGCTCACAACTTGAGTGCCAGCAGCTCACATAGTAGAATTTTTGCTCACAGGACTCCACAGCTTAGAGGGAGCACTGGTTCTTGGAACTTCTCTGAGTGAAACCCCCTCCCCCAAAACACAACACAACAAACACAGCCCACCCCTTGGAGAGGCAGCTGGGCCTGCCACGGGGAGGCCACATTGACTGACCAGGCCAAGCCACGGACAGTGTTTCCTCTAAGCTGAGTCCGTGTGAGCCAGCTCACAGTTTTTTAGCCTCCAGCTCACAGTGTTTTGCCTCCGCTCAGGAAGGGGATGGGGCTCCAGAGAAAACTGATTTATGCAGCCAGCAACCAGCCAACTCGCTCGCTCGCAACTTAGAGGGGACACCCCGTGCCGTTTTCCACCTGTGGTTTGCTCCCTCCGGGACTACTAGCGAAAGCAAAACACATTTTTTTAGGGGGGGGGCCCCACCGGGACACACGAGTGTGCCAACAAGGACCGTGCGGAAGTGGCCCCGGACGCCTGGAGAGAGACGCGCCTCCTCCCAACCCGGCCCCCTCCCCGGCCGCTGAGTCAGCCAGTGCCCCGGCCGGTCCGCCTGCTGCTCCCTTGACCCCACCCCCCGCCGCAAGGCTGGCCCAGGAGAAACAGAGGCCGGGCAGGGAAGGGGAGGGGAGGGGAGGGGAGGGGGCGTCTGGAAAGCGCCGGCTTCCTGCTGCCGGGGGTCGCCCTCCCCTGCCCCCGGCCGCAGAGCCAGCGGTGCCCGTCTCCCCGCCCCGAGCCAGCCGGTCGGACGGACGGGCAGGGGAGGCGGCTGGCTGTCGG